AACATCACCGTCGACGATCTTGACGTCGACGAGTTCCATCCTGGCAGTAGCCTCGGGCTTGGATTTTTCATGCGCGTCGAAGGGATCTTCGGTTGATAGGGCTGGGCTGGTGATGGTCGGGCTGTCGCTTGCCTCGGTGGAGTAGGTCGACGAGAGGCTGGGGACGTCGGAGTCGCGGGAGCAGGTGGAGCAGGAGGAGGGTGAGCGAGGTGGTTGGGTATCGTTTTCTGGATTCTGGGTAAAACGACGGGTATAGGCTTCGGAGGGAGAGGCCTGGGGTATCGTTGTTGTGGGAGGAGATGAGGTGATGGTGGTTTCGATTGGTGATGTCGGGTTGTGAAGACCGTTGCCGTAGGCTGGGACGACGATCTCACTGTATATGCTGTTGCGGCCGATACTCGACGTGTGCCGTGGTTTTGGCTGCCCGGCTGTGGTTGATGGTGGAGTGTCGGGTAAGGTGTCATGGTATGCGATGGTTGCGAGCTGGCCTTCACGAAGAGGGACACGGACTGGTACATGGTCTTTCTTCTGCGGGCGAATGAGCTCGGCTATGTGTGGACGATGACTGAAGTTTCCAGAAAACCGCACTTTGCTCCGCAACAATTGACGGGCTGATGCAACACTGCCGGATCTTCTAAGTGAATTTGTGAGAGTAGGGACGACTTCAAATTGAGGACTCCGTTCGCGGTACATGGTGGGCTTGGAAGTAGGGGGAAGTCGAGCTTTAAGCTCAGAAACGTCACCGTAGCCTTGCTCGTGGATATAATCGCGAATAGCCTTCATGTTGTCGCTTCCTTCGTCTCGCCAGATATCCATACGGTCTTTCAAGGCCAGAAGAGCAGACACCGGGTCATAACCAACAATTGGGACTCCCGTTAGCCATGCAAAGAAGTTTCTCGTCGTGACATGGTACGCGAAACTGTCTTCTCGCGAGAAGTGCTGGGGGGCATGCAGGTAGAGATAAGACTCGCTCGTTCTGGTTGGATATTCCTTCTCTTCATATGGAGAGCCCGCGAGAGTGGATATCAGGGATTGCTCGACAAGAGGCCGGCAGCCAGAATAGAGGAGAAACTCATAAGGAATGCGGAACGACGGGCCCCGCTGCGATCGACCTCGAGAAAACAGATAGATCAACGTATTTCCGTTGGGAAAGAACAGCTCTGGATCCTAGAATGCCCAACGTGAGGTCAGCTTTCACGCTATACCAGCAGACTTGAAGCTCTCATGCCAGCACGTCTGTTGATTGTAAAGCATACAGCGCGGCATTTCAAGGAAACAAAAAGAGCAGGTTTTCTTGATACGAGGTAGGAGATAGTACAACATACCCTTCTCAACTCATTCCAATCGGTAGCTTCCCTCGCCCGTCCATCCCATCGTTGTACTGGTGCCATGTCTTCGATCGTGGCCAAGGGTAAGCAAAATGAATCTGAGCTGCATCTACGATGCAAGCCAACATTTCTGCTTTGTAGTACCGACATAGTGTCTATGATGTATTAGAGGATTGAAATTATAGCTGGTACCTCATCAGACGTAATCAAGCATGTCACAATCCGACGTCCTGTACTTAATCGGAGCTCCGGAAACACAATTGAAAATCCGACCAACCCCAGTACGTATGGATTGCGCAACAGTGCAAGTCTGAAGGTGAACTCAGTCGAAGAAAAGAAGAACTCTTGCAGCCTCGTGGGAGATGTTGGCGGCTTTTAGCTATCAGGCTGTCCTGCAAAAACATCACAGCTTGAGCCGCGAGCTGAAGGAGCTCTCCAAATGACGGTATGGCGCTTGACTTGTTCAGAACATGGCAGCAGCCAAGGTCACACAGGTTCCGTACCGTAGTAGTACCGTAGTACTTCAAGCCCAGGGCTGCAAGCCAATCATGGAAAACTTGCTTTAGTCCCCGTTGACCGGCAGGACTGGGAGTCTGGAACCTCGGCCTGAGATGCATCCGGCAAGAATGCTGGCATGCTGAATGTCAAATCCTCTGATTCCCAAGAGGTCTAACTACTACGTATACTGATGCGTCGCCCTGAACCGGTGGGCTGCTATCAACAGACGGATTGTGCCTTTGAGATTAGCGACCGATTTGAAGCATCTCTTGGTGGTGGTGTGAACCTTATTGGCCCAAATCAAGTGGAAGGATCGATCTAGTTATGGACCAGCTCGCTGCGGGTTCCTTGGACCATGCATCAGGAGCAGCTCTTTGCTAGTTGACATTACTACGACTACTACTAACTACTACTACGTACTACGGTACCGGGGAGAAGTGATGTTGGCTTATCGTAGTAGAGCTAGAGCTAGAGCTTTTGCTCCAGAACAGATGCTTGACGAGACAGCCAAACATCGAACGGTTAGCGGTACTGCTGGCCGATATCTACGTAGTATTGCTATCTGCCAGGGAAGCTTCGAGACATCCCTGTCGTGTCAACTACTACGTTGTATGTAGTATAACTAGCTGCTGCTACTCGAGTAGTACCATGCTAACATCACTTCCGCCCGATACCGTAGAGTTTATCCCATGTTCGATCCTCTGACTAGGATGGATTTGGAGCTTCATTCAGCACTTCTTTAGTCTGCAGCCTTGCTGTGGTCTGGATCTTATTCTACTCCCGTGCTGGACAGGCATCTGGGTTGACCATCGAACGATGCCTACCACAGCTTTCCGAGCCGCTTTCAATGTTCTCGACCTTCCGGGTTGGTGATTGGTTTGAACTTTCGGCGCAGTGTGAGAGCGTGAGCGAGGGTGGGGAGCTTGACATTTATCGTTTTTGCGGCTAGAGGCTGACAAGCACGTTGGCCCTGGGCTACCACCACAGCTTACTTCTTGGACCATGGTCATAGCTCATCAAGGCGTCACTACATTACACGCAGTAGATGGGAAGGGAAGAAACGATGGGACCAAAGTTCTGCATAAAGTACGAAGAGTGGCTTGCTTCAACGTGTGCTGAAATTTGTGGTTCAACGATTCTTGTGAAAGGCGGGGATTCCTTGCCAATTCCTTGCCAATTCCTTGCCCCAGTTCCTTGCCAAGATCTCAGCAACGCCGCCTTCAAAGTTTGCGAGCTTGGACTTCATCCTGTCGATGAATTTCTTATCCCGACCCATTTCATATTGCCAGCCTTGCCCTCCCTCGCTATCCTTTGGAGCGTCTTTCTGCATGCATCAAATAGTATCACATCACCTGTCCCAAAGCGGAATCCCTGTCTCGTGTAAGAGAAGGCTGACTTCCCCAACTCAGGGCTCCATCGCATCCACACCATTGATAATCGCCGCTCCCTCGGACTCGTTTCCGTTGTCCTCATCATCTGTGCAGGCATCAAATTCAAAGTCTCCCCTCTCAATCCGGCTACATTCATCCAACAGCTGCTGGTACTCACGTCGCAGATCCTCCAGGGTAATAATGATCCTTTTTCGCGCTTTCCAGCCTGTCTGCATGTCCCGTCCGTCAGCATCCTGGCCAAAATCCATCGCGTTGACCGCGCTTTCTTGAGTGGTGGTGACAATGTAGGCTTCTTCAGGTGCCATGCATGATAAGGTATTGATGAGCGCAAGAAGAGTATTTCGTAGCACCATCGCCCTGGGGTCGTTCCTTGCGTGGCCTGATTTCTTGACCGTGTGAAGTCGATTCATAAGCACGGAAATGGCCCCACGATATTCTTGTCTCCCCACCCGCAATGCGTAAAGAATCCTCGAGTAGTCTGTGCCAATGTTATCTGCCCTGATGCGGTTTGAAAGACGCGGGGCTGAGGCTTGGTTCAGGGCTAGTGTGGTGAGGTGATCATCCACCACTCGTGTAATATGGGCATGTAGATCAAGAGGCAGCTTTTGTAACAGATGGATAATCTCGGTCGCCTCCAGCCTTGGCACACATCTTCGACCCAATATCGCATCAGCCCAAGCAATTGCAGACTTTTCTTGGAGCTTTTCATTGCTGAATTGTGTGAGCGCAGTGTATGCTGAAATGTAGCGGGAGGATTGAAGCTCTGCTGCGAACCAGCACAACAAGATGTCATCTCGGTAAGCTTCTACATCTTCCGACTTATCGGGAGGCAATGTAGCTAGTGCCAAGCGAGCAAAATGAGCCGCAAATGAATGCGCATGAGCTGTATCGAATAGTTTTGAGATATGCTCCAAGTACCGACTGATACCACTGTGGAAATTGTCTGTCTCGTCAATGGTTAGGAGTCCAGCGGACATGTCATCGAGCATGCCAATGGCCTTGCCGTGTGCTAGTCTCGAATCAGCATCGAAGAAATCAGAATGGAGCAGGAGGAAGACTTGCCTAATGGATACGCAGCTTTTTGAAAATGTAAAGCGGCCTGCTCATGCTCATCCCGTGCGAGATACAAACGTCCCTTGACATACGTAGACCAAGGCGTCTTTGGCTGGAAGCGAGCAAACTCGGTCGCCAGGTCAATATTACCATGGGCAAGCAAGTCGCATTGGATCCAAACACAACCATCGTCTGATGAGATCTCCGAAGCACCACCAACCCAAGCCTCCACATCATCTAGCATCTCGGTCAGCAGGTAGCTCTGTGGTGATCCAACAGCCGGCTGAGGTTTGATGTCTTTGCCTTTCGTGTCGCGTAAGAGATTTACTCGCCGAATGGAGCTTTGTGTTGACTGCGCTGATGGTTTCGGCTTGTTTTCAGTAGGAGAATCCCTAGAATGCTCCGAGGGTTCTATTGGACAGTCCCGAACATGCGAGAGCAACCACATCTTCTTCTCGTACTCTTTCAAAATATCAAGCATCATGCTGAACAATCCAGGCGCATCAAAGGCATCGATTCTCCTCTCTTCTTCGCCAATCTCACCCTCGAGGACGATCACAAGGATGAACAAGTTGTGTGCAACCTGGCGACGTAGAGTAATTGTATCTCTAAGCCCAGCATCAACCACATTCGCCCCAAACACTGTGGACCGAAGGGCAGTATGGGAGCCACGAACAGTTTCTGGCATAAGTGCGAGAACGGCAGGGATGAGCTCAGCCCCTAACCTCTGTAAGCCCCCAATAACCTGGACCTCATGCAACACTTTCTCAACCGATTCCTGAGATATTGCATCTCCAAATTTGCATCGATCATAAAAGTCGTTGATTCGTTCAGAAATAGGGAGTTCAGCTTCCTCGAAGAGCTCAATGTTAAGAGCATTCTCGCAGTCTCTGACCAGTTCTGGTGAAAAGCTTTGCATGAATGTTGCCGCTGTATCCAACAACTTCGACATGCTTGTGAGACTAGGGAAATCTTCGGTAACGCCCTTGCGATGTGGCCATCGGGCGGAGATGATAGACTCAAGGGCGTGCGCAGACTGGCGACTGTTATAGCAAACGAGTTCAAGCTCATTGCACTCGCGTATTGCGCAGCACTGATCAGCCTGAAGTACCCAGGACGTTCCAGCGTATGCATCGAAAGCCAGCGAGATTGGGCTCCTACACTTTTCATTAATGGCTTCCGCAATTCGCCAGAAGTTTCTCCACTGAGTGTCGGTATCAAGAGCAAACCGCAGGTAGTCCAACTCCGACTCACTGTACTTACGCAGGCTGACACCAGATGCTATGGAGGCACAAAGCCGCTGCTGCAGCGGCCTACTGTTCTTCGCTGGCGCCGGTTCGATTCGCATCGCCTCTTGATAAATGTTCAGTGACGTCTCTAGCACAGACACTGGATATCTTTCAGGCCAGAATAAGAACTTCATCCATTTCTCTGTAGGGTCCACCGAATCGTGCTTCACAAAATCAGGGGCAGTAGTTTTCGAGCTGATTGAGGGTTGTGTCTTGACCCAATTTGTCGCCCAACAGTCCCACATATTTTGCATGTCAAAGTGCAAGCTATAAATTTGGCAGAGATTGTTGTTCCTCCATAGAAGCCACAGGTCTGCAGGCTCACCGAAGTCACCAGGGTATAATTCGAATCCTGCAAGAGACCAAATAGTGTTACCCGAAGGATCAGGATCCGGCGGCCTCAAGCTCAAGTCAGGGAACATGTCCTCCACGGTCAATGGCTCAGTAAGTCCACCTCGCACGTTCCAGAATTTGAATTGGCCTTCGTTATGTGGTGAGAACGTTACCAGTATGGGATGGTCAATCAATCCAACTTTGAACAGACGAAGAAAGCTTGGCGTTGCAGGGCTGAGAATTGTGTGTGGGTCTTGCGGTTGGATAGGTCTGTTGAGCAGATCTTTTGAAACCACCAACTTGCCTGTCGTCAGACTCCAGACTCGCAAAGTGTGATTCAGACATATGGTGTAAAGATACGTGGAATCCGAGGATGCAATCATGGCATTTGCGGTCGTCTGGCTCAAGGACCTTGATTCATAGGTGATAAAGTGATTGCTTCGCCATTTGACCATACCTCTAAGCGAAGCTCCCCACGATGCATCATCAAAATTGTCTTGTGTCCAATACGATCCGTCATCTTCAGCTTTTCTTGTCAACCTCTGCAATCGGCCACTATCGAGAGCCACGAAAAGCTCGAAGGGTGTATGCGCGTAAAGTCGATGGGGAGTATCGATCGTGAAAGAAGAAGGCACAAAAGTCTTGCACCACTTACGACTGTCAGCCTTCGAGTCCTCGGGGTTTCTGAAGAAGTCAAGGGGTACAGCCAATGTGTGGAGCTCCTTCTTGGTGGTGATGATGAAGGCATGCAGCACATCCTGATCCTCTGTGTCTGATAGCTCAACCCCTCCAGGTACTATACCATCTTGAACCTCGAATCTAATTATAAGAAGAGCTTCGTGAGATTCATGCTCGCTTCTCGCTAAATCTGCGCATCGAAGCTCTAGGATTCTGTTGCCATCGAGGACTCGCCAGATAAATGTTCGAGGGTATGCTTTCGCACAACGAAAGTAAATGGACCCTTGACTAGTCAGATATTTTTGGGCATAGGAAGTTTCGTCTTTTGCTTGACCCGGGGTCGCTGAGGTCCTAGCATAGGATGGTGCTGCTCTTGGAAGTATTTGCAAGCTGCTGGCCGAGGGAATGGGACGTGTGATCACCAAACTGGAGGTAGGAGGAGTGAGATGTACAGCCGTCTCCACGTATAAGTTGAGCATTTCGTGGAGGAGAACTCCTGCGTCTCGAACATTTCTAGGTGACTGTCCGCGTCAGTTGAATTGCAGTCGCTCCAATGTGACTATTGTTGGCAAATCGCCAGAATTTTTGCCAAATTCGGTTTGTCGCGTCAAGCTCCGCGATGTTCTGCCAAGCCTACGTGCCAGGTGCGCAAAGCTACTAGTTACTAGTACTATAAGTAGTTAATGACATTTCTTAGCACTTCACGATCGACGTCTTTACCATGGCAGGAGAAGGGTTAGCTAAAGATATGAGCTAAGTGCCATTAGTGGAAATGACACCTATTCTGTCAAATGACGACCATATTACAACGATAAGAGAAGCATATTTTGACCAAATTATGATCATATTTTCAGCAGAATACGTTGTAAATAAGATTTCATTGGATCACGGCTAATCTGCGCAATTTGATGGCTCCCCTAGCATTATTTTAAGAGGGCCTCTTCCTGCTAACGGTCAGGTCACTCTTGAAACATTGCTTAACTTCCACTGGTCGTACCTTAAGAGCATACAGAGGACGCAAGTAAAGCATGCATTGCAACAAAACATTTGCGCCTATGTACTTATTGTAACCGCTGATATAGCTATCATACCTACCACCAATCTCCATGGCATTTCATGGCGTCTGCAACTTTGATGAAGCCAGCAATGTTGCTACCAGCCACCAAGCTGGGAAATTCACCCTCCTTGGGCTCGATATACTCCTGAGCAGTTGCGAGGCCGTTCTTGAAGCATGACTCCATAATCAACTTCAGTCTTCCATCCACTTCTTCAGAAGTCCATGAGAGTCGCGCTGAGTTCTGGGCCATTTCTAAGCCAGACACCGCAACGCCTCCAGCATTTGCTGCCTTGCCCGGGGCATACCAGATGGCCTCATGTTTCTTCTCCTTTCTGTGCTCCTCGAAAATGTCAATTGCATCTTGCGTGCAGCCCATATTGCTTCCTTCGGCGATGAACTTGCAGTTGGCTTTGATTAAACCCTCTGCCTCTTCGCCCGAAACCTCGTTTTGCGTGGCGCAAGGAAGTGCAACATCCACATCGCCGACCTGAAGCCATGGTCTGACACCTTCAATGTATTTATACTTGCCCTTGAAGTTGGCGTCATTAGCGAGCTCTGACAGCTGCTTTCGGTCGACCTTCAGCTGGGCAATAATGCTGATCTCTTCGGGTTGAATACCCTTCTCGTCTGTCGCGATCAACGCCCCTTTGCTATCACTTAGAGATACAACCGTAGCACCAAGCTCAATGCACTTAAGTGCAGCGTATTGTGCAACATTTCCTGAACCTGAGATAGCCACTTTCTTCCCTGAGAATGATTCTTTGCCGTCGGATGCAAACTGAATCATATGTTGAACGTACTGCACTGCTATCAGCATTGCTCCGGAGGACGGTCAGATTTGAACTTACATAGACAAGCCCGAAGCCGGTAGCCTCTGGTCTGATCAGGCTTCCACCCCAGTCACCACCTTTACCCGTCAAGACACCCTCCCACAACTTTGTCTGCTTTTTGTAGCATCCAAACATCCAGCCAATCTCTCGAGGCGAGACGCCAATATCCCCAGCAGGAATATCAATATTGGCACTGATGTGCTTGCTCAACTCGGTCATGAACGCAAAACAGAATTTTCGAATCTCGCCATCGGATTTTCCTTTCGGGTCGAAGTCAGCGCCACCTTTGCCTCCGCCCATGTTCACTGATTCCTTGTCAGAGCTAATTCATGGGACGGCGATATACGCTTGCTTACATCCAGTCAATGCATTTTTGAATATCTGCTCGAAGCCGAGGAACTTGAGGATGGACAGATTCACTGTTGCAAAGATTATGTCAGCCTGACGCTCCACGTGAGCAGAGCCTTTTGGGATTTGTACCGGTAGGGTGGAACCTGAGACCACCTTTGTATGGGCCAAGAGCTGAATTGAACTGTACTCGGTAACCTCTATTTACTTGGACCTAAACAGGGATTAACTCCGTCTGTTCATAATGTTGCAGTTGAAGTAGTCCATACCTCTCCTTTGTCATTCTCCCAGACAACCTGAGCTCGGTAAGCTTGGCACCATTGGGAAAGCCTCGGTTGCATAATTACATACTCTGAATTGAATGACTCGTTCTGGGATGGACACCACCATAAGTGCCTTTTTGTATTCGGGCTTCTTCTGGAAAAGTGAGGAATTTTCGAGTGTAGAGACAAGCTCTGCATTGTAGCACATATAAGTATCGTGAGAGGACCAATGTTCAACAGTTTGCCCACTTACCTTTGTAAGCCTGCTCGAATTCTGGCTCTGGCGCAAGATTCGACATGTTGTCGGTCCAGTTGAAAGCAGGAGCTGATATGTTTGCCTAAACGGTAAATAGGACCTTTCCTGAGTCGATTACGAGGATTCGGATGGTTTCTGAACAAGGTGAAGGTAGAATGGAAGCATAAACTGATAATGAGGAGCAGCTCAGGGTTTTATTCGAGACAGCCGCAAGAAAAAGAGAGAAAGTAAGACCGAGGACCCCAATTGTTTACGAGGACAAAAGTGCTCTGGAGCTTGTGGCAAGGTAGCTCCACCCCCTGCCATAACTGAGTTGCGATTGTGAGGCATGGAGTCTAGCGAGCTTGATTCGTCGCATGAGGGTGAAGTCATCCACATCAGTAAGATTGACCACATCGAACAGCTAATCTGTGGCAAATGGTACTTGATAAGTGGGCAATCCATTAGTTTAAGTGGAGGTGGTTTGTTTGCACGAATGATAAGGCGCTGATAAGGGATTTGATAAGCCAGATTTGGTCATCATGATTATGTCCTTTGGTGGTGATGGTGGTGGAGGTGTTCCTGCATGCGTCTGTGGTGTAAAATCATTTGATTATCTAAAATAATCCGATAACGCCTGGGCAGTGACAAACCCAAAATCATGCTCGAACAATTTATACCAGTATCGTGAGCTGCCTGGAGATTCTGGCAACAGAACATCCAACTAATGAACAATATCATCAAAACAGGGTGTTCAGGGTCCAGAACTTGCTGAGCGTGGCCCACTTTTTAGTGTCCTCGGAAATCTCTCTGCCCACTAATGCGGCATTCTTCCGTGTCAAACTAAGACTTTGGTTCGAAATCCTCTCACCCCAACTGTAATGATCTTGCCCTCCAACAGACAATTAAGCACGAGCCGCAGTCATACTACTTATAGCACTCATCGCCACTAATCTGCGTCTACAGGATCCCAATCTGTCACCAGGTATTCGTCCAAGGTATCGAGCTTTTTCATATCCTGCTCCTCAATGTGGAATCCTCCGATGTTTGCGTTCTCCTGGATTCGATGCTTGGTAACCGATTTTGGCAAGGGAATAAATCCGTGCTGCAGACTCCATCTGATCATGAGTTGTGCCGGAGTGCAACCATACTTCTTTGAGAAGGATTGAATAACAGGGTGCTTCATGCGCAATGCCCGCACCAGTGGTGCATAAGCTTCGACAATGATCCCGTGCTTCTGGCAGAAAGAAGTGATGCTGGTTCTGGTGTTGAACGGGTGCACCTCGATCTGATTGACAGCCGGCATGATTCGAGGCTTGGATGCCATCAATTCTTCCAAGTGCTTGACACCGAAGTTGCTCACACCACCTGTCTTGACATCTCCGTCCTGAATCGCATCCTCAACTGCTCGCCAGCACTCGAGTCTCTTCGTCTTTCCGCCATACGGACTATGGAGGAGGAAGAGATCGATATAACCCAAGCCACAGGTCTTCACTGACTGCCTTATTGATTTTCGTGCAGCCTCATAGCTGCTGTTCGACGCAAGTTTGGATGTAAAAAAGATGTCTTCCCGTTTCAGACCGTTGGAATTGGTAGGCCCTGAAAGGAACTGGAGTATAGCCGATCCTACTTCCCGTTCGTTATGATACATCTGGGCGCTGTCGACACTGGTCCAAGGTTAAAATATTTGGGATCCTGAACGAAGAGATCTAGTTTTACCCTCTGTAACCTGTCTGCAATTTATGTGAGACCAGGATTGTAAATTGGAGCGCTATGCCCTCGAAAGCATGAACTGACCTCCAATGCCCACTTGACTGCGTTCGAAGTTTCTTTCCCAGAGGTCTGGTAGACCCCAAGGTGGATTTGTGGGGTGGTTAAGCCATTAGGGAGCTGTTCCAGCCGTCAGCAAGATATCCGGCCAAGATCGAGTGGAATCGCAAGGTAACAGGGCGGGACAGGCTGCTCTGGCGTACTTGTATTTTGCTAGACAACGAAAAAGACTTGGTCGCCATGCTGGAATATGTACAGTATCACCTAATTCAGAGAATAATAATATTAGACATCTCGTTTCTTTTACCAAGCCGCGGTTTCCGGTGGTCGGTGCGTCATCCACTAGTAAGGCGTACATAGCCAGCTACCGGGTAATGTCACGCGTCATTTCAATTTCCTAAAAGGGAAAATAGTGCTCAGACTCTGAAGCGCCTTCCAATACAGTACGGCACAAGATCAAGAGACATTGGGTCATGCCAGAAATTTTTGTGGACGATGTGAAAACCATTCTGGGGGGGAAAATGTAAATCTCACTAAACAGAATGCTTGGACGAAGGTCTGAAGGTATTTGGGTTGGCACCGGGGATCCGAGAGTAGTAGCCGTGCCCCGCCAC